AAAAAAAAAAAAAAAAAAAAAAAAAAAAAAAAAAAAAAAAAAAAAAAAATCGAGGAGTCGCTCGGTCGGTCGCTTTAATTAATCGACAACAACACTTCGACACGGCTTCCCTTCATCTCGTCCTTCGTTGTCGTGTATACTTGCATATCGTCTTGATTGCGAAACTAAGAAAAACGTCAGTGTATCGGGCAGTGTTTGATTGACGAGATTTTTACCGATCGCGTATTGTTATGTATACATATATACATATATATATATATATATTCTTACATTTAACGGTTGTGTTATACATTAATTATTATAACTCTCCCACGTTAATTTGCGTTAGGGGGAAAAAATATATAAATTATGTTTGGCCAAGGAAGTAAGAAAAACCTCAATGTATCGTGTTACCGATCACGTATCACTTGAATTCATGTCCCTACACTTGCCTGTTTTGTCATATGTTATTCACCCGTGTTAATTTGCATTGAATAAGGAAAAAACTATACATGACACGTGACAACTTGATTTTCATGAAATAAGAGGAGAAAAAAAAAAGAAAAAAAAGGTAACAGGACAGCAGGCAATATCGGCATGTGTTTTACAAACAAGAGAGAAAAAGGACCCATCCGCAGTATAACGAATCAGCGGCGCGCAATATAACGTACAAGCGAGAGGAAACCCTATAGAGGTGGAAAAACGATTTGCGTCAATCGTTCGATTCGCCACCATGACCATCCCGACACCGATTTCTCGTACACATACATAGCTAGTATTTAGATTGGCTCGCGCGTGCATGGGACGTCGTTCCAGGCACACCCCCGCGCGTGTACAAGTATATATACGTGTCATCTTTGCTGTACAAGGAAGAAGAGAAGCTATACGCAATCGTCTACAGCTTGACGTTCAGCCTATAAGTTGAGCCCTGCCGGCAGCTCCGGGACCATTTCGAGCAGGAGCATCGCGCTTATTCTACAGCTACACTCGTCCAGTGTACAACCGTCAATTGTTCCGATATTTCTCTATTCTCTGCCTTATCAAGTTGACAAATAATCGGTGTCGCGCGTTGTAGTACACTCCTCCGCGTTATACAATCATGTGAGTCCTTTTCCCTTTATTTTTTCTCCGTTATATAAAAAAAAAAAGTAGCAACGAAATGGCACAAAGTTAAGTACAAGAATAAATATGAGGGCGCGTTGCAGGAACTGCCGAAAGCTGCGGCTGAGCATGCTGATCCTGGGAGTGTGCAGTCTGTGCTTCGTCCTGATCGTCAATGTCGATGCCCAACTGAATTTCTCGACCGGTTGGGGCAAGAGGAGCTTCATCGCGAAAAACAGTACGGCCCGTTTCTTTCAGCGACAAAGCGACGTCGATCTGCTCCTACGCTGCTTTCATCAACTGAAAAAGGTTTGAATATTCGTAATATGCATACATGTCATTGTATAAGTATATCGATCACAGGATTAATATTTTCCGCGAGTGTGTTTTCATTCTCACGACGAATGTCCTTGTTTGGATTGATTTTAGATTAAAAACCAGAACATTCTTGGGGACGATTAGTAAGTCCATCAACGCTGCTTTTGCGCCGAGTTGAATAATCGAGTTATTTTCGTTGTATTTTCATGATGTATAATTGTATAATTCTGTATAGATTATTATTATTGTTTATTTATTTATTTCAATAAAACTGTATATTATGCTGAAATGATACCAAAGCAGGTATATGTCGATTTATTTCGTTATTTATGTTTATAATTTATTTTTTGGCAAAAAATTAAGAAAAATAATGAACGTTATTTATGTATGATTATTCCTTTAACTCTGCATATGGCCTTCATTGCAATAAGTTTAAACACAAAATATACTTACTTGGCTGATGATAAATAAATCGGCATTCCGATCATGTATAGGTTGGTGACATATTATTGATGTGAATATATTATATGTTACATGTGCCCTTTCCACCGATTAATACAAATAACATTTTTAATTAATTACTCGTATACCTCAGAGTCTTCATTGTCTTCAGACGAGTACCTTATACATACATGCTGGAGTCCTAAGTCCTAAAAGCTTCGAGGATATCAGCCGCAAGCCTGTGTGAGTGCGAGTGAGAAGCAAGAACATGTGCTCTCTTTCTCGCACTTACGCGGGCATATATAGGGCATAGAGGCTGGTCCTGGAAGTTCAGGACTCCATGTATATATGCACCATCAAGTGAACCCCGTGAAAATAAATGAAGATGGACTTCATTTCAAAACTATTAAGAGTAAGTATATTGTATTCATAAGTTCATGAGTAAGTATATTTACGTCAGAGGAATAAGTAGGGGACATCCCAAAAGGAGTACTTTAGAGAGAATTGATGAGCTATATTTGCTAGGGGAACCGTCTTGAGAAAAAAAAAATGATACCTTGCCTTGTCGACGGCCAATAATGGGAGGACATCGGCAACGGGTGAGTTAATAGTCGGTATGTCAGGGTCCGTTTTCTGCATCAGTACCGACAGTACGATCTATATATGGACGCGCGTGGTTTTTCCCCTTTCTAGTGAAAAATCCTAGGTTAAATATATATAGCAACACTAAAATATAGGGTTTTTTTCTCAAGACGATTTCCCCTAGAAAGATATTTTCCGAAAATCACAACGCTAGATGGCGCTGACATAAAAAAAACGATAGGCGGTATATATAATTATATAATACATATACTGAACCGATTAGATCGAGATATTTAGAAGTCATGACTAAGAGAGCGTGTCAGATTGTTTTTATTATGTAAAGAATTTAGTAGGAATGTACATATCCTTCCAAGGTCGTTATTTTAAAGCCGGTCGTTTGACGTTGTGTACAGCTATTATACTTAGTAGAGTAAATATATGTAATACTTGTTAATCGATTTAATCGGGCTTGCTGTCTGCTAAACATTGTCCACACACTTTGCGTGTTAACCTAACCTTGTCTTCTACGCCTTTTTTTAATTATTATTATTCTTTGATAACGTTATCATACAACGACTAATTATACACATATGTGTTCCTATACTTCAATTAGTGAGCTTTATTTTGAATCGCAATCGACTGCTACCTATTGGCTACTTTGTACTTGCTATACTTATGTGTCTAATTGTCCAGAAACCTAATCAGCAAAAGAAAAGAAGCAACTCATCACCAATACAAAGTGCCGGTATTCTTATTCATATACAGATAATCAGCTAGTCTAGTTCTAGTGTCTAGTGTCAGTATATATACACAAGTCAACAAATATAGGCAATATAACAGGCACGTCGATGAAAACCAATACGATCAGGAGTTGACTGGACAAGTGTTGCACAAGCTTACCAGACACATATTATAATTGTACAAGAGTTTAAGCTATCTAACATGTTCTCACTTTCACGTTGTATTGGCATGTCGGGAGCTAGCTGGCTCAAGCGTTACCAGTACAACTCAAATTTGACACATGAAGGCATCAAGCTTTTCTCTCAGAATCAAGCTCACGGTCGTGCTCATCTGTACCATAGCAATAGATTACACAGCAAATTCAAATTGTGCAGACTCAAAATGAGTAGCTGGCTCCGTGAACAGGGCATACAGGTCTTCAGAGCTTGCACCAGGCAATGCGAGTTTATAGCTGCACAGAGGGTTAAGAGAAGTATACAGATTTTTTACCTTTACACCAGGCTGTGGGACGAAGTTGCTCTCAATGAATTTCTAAGATCAATTAGGCACAGAATTGCAAGGAACACTAGTAATTTCCTGGCCGGTGCAGTTGGCTTTACTATTTACAATTGGGAGCAGGAAAGAATTGCAGATGAGGAAATTTTAAGGTAAAGTACACCCAACGTAGTTTAATACTTTCATGTCAGCTCTGATTCAATTTTTACTATTATCAATGAATTACTGGACAGCTACAGTCAGGAAATCGAAGGACTGTACAAGCTGAAGGATTTGACAGTTGTGTGTTCCAAGTGCCACTTGAGGTTGATTGTTGATGGTAAACAACCTGAAATCGAGTACTGTCAATGCCATGATGTCAAGTGTGCTGTCAAAAAAGCTGAGCAAGAAGGCAAGCAATCGCAGTTTGATGGTTTTACTTTGTTCAACTTTTATATGTTCTCTCCACTATTATGCCTTCATTGTTGCACACAATCATTACATAAGCCATACTAAATTGGTATTATTCTATTTCTACATTTCAGGATCTGAGTGGGAACCTTTTATTGAACGTCAGGATATGTTAGTGTGGAGAAGAGAAGAAAAAAATGCCTCTGGATTGTATTCCTATAAAGTTTATGGGTCTTTTGATGATGTCTCTGCTGAAGACTTCTTACAAGTTCAAATAGATATAGATTACCGCAAAGATTGGGATGCCACCGCCAAAGAATTAGAAGTAATAGACACAGACCCTAAGTTTGAGGACGTTAAAGATAGCTGTAGCGATGTTATTTATTGGGAAATGATTTGGCCTGTGAGTTTCATATTATTATTTTTTCATTTTTGCACAGATTCAGTATAAACGTTTTTCATCTGAAAATTTGTAATTTACAGAGAATGTTTGCCAATAGAGATTACGTTTATCAAAGGAGATGGCTTTATAACGAAGAAACAGGCGTTGTAGTAATAGTTAGCAAAGAAACCAGTCATCCAAAAGCTCCTGTCAGATCGGACACTTACAGGTAATATAACGAGTTATTAGCGATAGTGTTTTTCATGACTTTAGTTTTGTTATTAATGTTATAAATTTTTTAGGGTAACGACATACTGGTCTTACATGGTCATAAGGCCACAAAAAAATTTTTACGAACCCGGGATTGAATTTGTTTTAACTTATTTTGATGACCCTGGAGTAAATATACCATCAGCTGTGACGGCTTGGGTTGCCATGTCGGGTACAATGCAAATTGCAGGAATTATTTTATTTTACACTTTTCTTTGTAATCATTTTTAAATATGGCTATTTGTTTTCAAGGTTTTCCAGATTATTTATGTCGTATGAGAGAAGCTGGTAAAAATTACAAGAGTTATAAAATGCAAAAATCAATTCATCTGATTTCCGAATCTATGACCACAACAGACGATCAAGAGGATAATTTAAATGTAAATAACGAAACAAGCGATCAAAGCAATGAAACTATTTCTGGTGATATCGAAATCAGTGAAGAAACAATAGATTTAAAAAGTTTTGAGACTTTGAAATTTGTAGAAAAAGAATCTGATATAACATTAGATGAAACAAAAAAAGAAGAGCCTACTGAAGCACAGTCAGCACAAGAAGACACTCAAGGATTCTTCGACTACCTTTTATTTGCCAAGTTATTTGCCTAGCAGTTATTTAAACGTAAATAATAAGCGACGAATTATATTTCAAAGGTTCTTCTTAGTCCATTGAAAGGATCATGAATTGAAAAATTTTCGATCGATTTGTACAGAAAAGTATATGTATTTAATGTAAATAATGCACTTTAATTCTTAGAAGCATAAAATGAATGTCTGAAGACATCACTCTAGCATAATCATTTGAATGCATCTTTGATTTTATCCATCATATCACGAAAAATTGTACATAGGTATTTACTTTATTCAAATTATGTAAAATTTTTACGTAGTTGAATTTAATAAAACACGTTGACGTAAAAGTAATAAATTTGTTTTATTTTTTATACTCTATTCTCGCAAGTACTTATTAAACAAATACAATAATCGCATAATAAATATTGAATAATTGTAGTAAGTTTTTGCATAAAAATTTTGTAATCGTGAAAATAGGACAACTAAAAAAGTGTTCCGCTTTTAAAATGAATAGCAAACAATTGTTAACTATCTATGGATATTATGTACATATATGTATATCTATTAAAACTGTTAAATATATCAATTTCATAATGAAAGTTGACATTGTTTTTAAAATAAATAAAAAGCTATTTTACAGTATATTAATACTTGTAGATAAGACACCTTGTGATTTGTACATGCCAAAAATTAATCTTTTGCATTGTAATCGTTGAGATCCAAAAACAAAGGATCACATTCATCTTCAAAATAAAATGTCACTTCAACAGGTAATCTTTTTGGATCAGAAATGAAACCAGCACAATCTTCATCATGACATTTCTGGTACATCGTTTTATTGACTATGTCAACAATGTAGTACACATTGTTGCTCTTGTGCCATCTACCAATATTTTCACAGTACCTAAAATGTTGTGATACAAAATTACAAAAAGTTAATCAACATCACTAATTTCTACAAAAAAAATCTATTGAAAGTTGAAGATTTCCCTACCTGAAGCCGACGATTTCATAAATAATTAATTGTCTGATTTCAAAAAACTTGCTGTCCCTAACTTTTCCTGGTTTAATAAGTTCAGATATATATTTATCTAATACCGGATATGGTGATTTTGCATATTCTTTGGGAGCATAATTTTGCTTCATTTCTGTATGCTGAGAGTAAGACAAAATTTTGCTCTTTTTGTCTTGATCAAATGACAAAAGTTGAAGCTTTTTCTTTCTTGGCATGTAAGAAACCAGAGAATTCAAAAATATCTCCATTTCTTTGCTTTTGGGCTTTTTGGGCCAACTGTACTGGCACTCGGGAGCTTGCTGTAAATGCGAGTGTTTTCCCCACTTGGTGGCTTTGTACACTCTGAAATGTCTATTTTTGGTATAAACGTTGAGATCTACAAAGAGCTTTTTTCCCTTGTTGGTCTCTATGAATAATTCCTCGAGACTTTCCTTACTGAACTTGCTCAGAACGTCGTGCTGAGCACTTTCGCGTGAGACGTAATCAACAAGATCGGAGCAAATCATTTTGACTAGATAGCCCACGTGATAATTATTGGAAAAGGCAAAGTCCGAGGTACTGAAAATCAAGTGCTTACTGAATTTTCCCGGACGCGAGGAGTCCAGGTTAATGACGGCTCTTCTGTCGCAGGAGCACTTCCAGTGGTAGGCGATGTATTCGCAAGTGACGTGGATGAGAGTTTGGGCCATGCGTACTCCATCCTTGTCAGGATTCAGGTCGACCTCAAATTCGAGATCGTAGTATAGAAAGCAAGGGGACAGCTCTGGAATCACCTGCAATTACGAGTACACGTGTTGTAATTGATTAACAAACAAAGACAAGCATAACGCAACAAAAGCACTAGTGTTTACCTCGTAGAAGACCCGTTTTTCCAGCGGCATGCGTTCGCAGTCTGTCCAAAAGTCTTCGGGGTAGGTGACGATGAAGCGACGCCTCTCGTTCTCATCCTGGAAGACGAAGCAGCAGAGTATGTCATCGTACTCGGATAGTTCGGCGGCATTGGCTAGGGCCTCGTTTTGCTTCCAAAACTCTTGTTTGTAGGGAGACGGACTCGTCAAGGGCCTGGCACGCGGGTTGATGTCCCACGGGTCACTGTACCTGATGTGCTTCTTTGCTTCCTGGACTTTTTTGGCTCGCTCGTTGAACAGGGGTGTCAACGAGTGGCCGTAGAAGCGCGCGGGTATTATCGAGTTATTCATTATCGATGTTTATGTTTTGTTTCACCTTCTCTACTACCTTTATGTACACATGAGGTTGTTGGCACCGATGATTTGATCTTTGATTCCAAATCATCAAACGAAGACGCAATGCATGCAACCTCTTTTTTAAATCCTATACTTATTATTATAATTGTACATTATTAAATAAATGTGTAAGTACAGACGGCAATAATCCAACGTCAACAACAACATTGACAACTTAATATCAACGATGCGATCAGACGCTGGTATACCCAAGATATCGTATTGTTAATATTTCAGTTATCACTACTTTCACTGTTTGCACGGATTATCACTTGAAATTTTCACTTTATTTATCAAATATGTAAAGTTTAGGATGCTTGCAGACTCTATTTACATACTGTTATATATATATATACTGTATACTTTGCATTTTGTATATACAAATTGCAGACGAAAATGTAGAAATTAATCATAATAACAAAGCACCTCAATTTTGTCGTCTGGTATACCAGAAAGAAAGCGTGTTCAAACCTGTTGCCTGAGCAGCTGATGCTATATAGATATAAAGAGATGTTGGATCTTTCATCTTTTATTCTTATCTAAAATTGTACAAATATATATATACACACACATGTAAACACGCGTGGTCGGATCAAGATTATCTTTGATTATTCCTAAAGATAAATCAATCACACGAATCAAATTTGTTAAGTGCGTCAATAAATCCGCGCTTATAATTACGTGGAAATGAGAGATTTTACGATTTTCGGAAGAATTATACATATGATGATGGATGGTTTGTATATATATACGTATATAAACGTAAGCTTTTGTGTTTACTTGTATACGTTTGATTAACACACATGTCTGCAAAATTCCACGAACCGATCTTTGGCTAAATTTTTAATGCTAAACTCACTTATTGTTATTATTTTCCGAACGGCATATCACGTGCATATTAAACATGGAGCGCAATTTTTTTTCAACTGACATTGCTTACTGAGCTTAAAAAAACACATTAGTTCAAACTACCGTAAAATTATTTTGAACCAAATGGATATATTCAAAACGCTAAAAAAATATGATGCCATTGATGTCTACTTTCGAAAGGAATAAATAATTAGGTCCGAAGCATGGTAATATAAAGCGATTGAAACAAAGGGCGGCGGTTGAGGTTGGGGGATTTTCCACGCATACACGAAGCTACAGAGCAGTACCAAGAGTAACAACCCCTATTTTTAAATCTACGGGTCGCTCGTTCGTCATGCCAATTTGTTTGGCAAAAACGTAATTTGTTGTTATTTAAAAAATTAAAATGTAACAAGTTCCGCTAGCTCGATATGTTGCTCGTTTGTTGCACCAACTATGCGTGCCATTTATTATATATTACATACACATCGCTTATCTTTTGAGGACTCGAAAATTGAAATGGCCATTTTTGCGAATATCAAGCCAGGAGTAGTATACATATATCGCGTAGTGTATCATACACATTTTGACTACACAGTGACATAATTTAACACTATACAGCCTTGACAATTAATTTTAAAATATAATTATGATAACAAAAAGTTTTTCTTACGAAAACTTAAACACGTGATTGCCTGTTATACGTATTACGTGGTAAAAGTACAAACTCTTCAGAAACAAAACATCACTGTGAAATACATTGGTACGAAAAAAAAAAAAAAAAAAAAAAAAAATCGGTAAACAAAAAGAAATGCCGTTTTCCCTTTTCAAGCGTATATGTAGGTAACATTTGTACACGAGTAATGCAGATTCGTCCGCGCGCGGTGTGTTCTTGTGATTTCGTTGTAAGTGCCGCCGCACTCGCGGCTATTTCTGCTGCCGCGCGGTTTATTTGATCAAAATCTAAAAGCGAAGGAGAGACAGAGGGGAGATGCTATCTCGTGCGTGCACTTCCATCAGCGCGAAATACACGCGTTTTCAAAAACGACTCCGAAATTAAGTTGACCGCGCGCTTGTACGCCAACAACACACGCGTAATAAGTGGGCCCTTTTTCTCCATATCTGACGTTGCCTTACACATAAAAAAAGAAAAAAAGAAACTTGTCAGCTATTGGAAGGGGGAGGGTGGGTGTTAATAAATACCGGATTGATTCGTGCAATCGAGAGATAAGTTAGCGACTCCGAAACATAAGAGCTGGGGGTGGGTTTGTTTACCCCTCGGCTCGAGGATCCCACACGTATAATCCATTGACGCGCTTATACCCCGTACACACGTACGTCCGGTGCCGATATATATATATCCACTGTATAGCCGCGCTCGCTGCACGGCTCTTACCTATAAAATATAAACGCTCAGTTTAGATTTCGCCGGCTCGGCGGGAGGACTCGCACCGATTTTTTTTCTCTCCTCTTCCTTGCGATAAAAAAAAAAACAAAAACAAAAACAAAAAAAAACAAAAAAGCTAAAACATCAAAGTATATCATACCCTATTCTTACGTATGATCCTGTGTAGACAAGTTTCAGGTATATATTATACGGGGCGATACAACGATCCAAATTAATATTCGGAAAATTGACACGGCACGAGAGAATAAATCGTCACCGACGACGCGTCCACGAATAAACATCGGAATTTACATTAAAGAGAGAGAGAGAGAGAGAGAGAGTGGAAGAAGTAGGGGTGGGGGGGAACTATCGCGATAGCGCGGCACATCGATAAGCGTGACAAATATATTTGCGATATCGCGTGCCCGTCCACTGCACCGATAGAAAATCGTCGCGCACAACGTGTACAGGTAAATATATATACGGACAAAAGAAGCCACGCATCTAATGTACATCAATCGAGCGAACAACGCGGGGTGAATTAACGTTGTATTATAAAAAAAAAAAAAAAAAAAAAAAAAAAAAAAAAAAAAAAAAAAAAAAAAAAAAAAAAAAA